AATCAATTGTTCTCATTTTTATTAAAAAAATTTTGTAAAATTTATAATTAAAATGATTTATTTTATAAAAACTAAATAGAAATTTAAAGCTGTTTTTTATTGATTAAATATTATTTTTAATATAAAAATTTAATCTTTTTTTAAATATAAACCTATTAATAATAGTGTTCGCTGGAACCAATTCTTGCTCCAGCTGTTGTTTGACTCTATGCCAACTATGTTCATCCTTATCATTTGGACCTTCTTCTGTTATTAGGTCCCTTTCATCAATACTGTCTGTGTTTAATAAATCTTGACTAATCATTTTATTTATTATTGGGGTTTAATTAAAAATCTTTTTAATTATGATTTTTGATAGATTTGACATTTGATTTACAATTTTTGAATTCATTCCACTAAGATAAAGTGTATTGAGTTCTGGTAACAAATAGTTTTTTTAAAATAAAAAGTAATTTTTGTTATCAAGAGTATAAAAAAATTTTAGATAATAAAAATATAACATAAAATATACATTTAATTAGAATAATACAAATTAAATTAAATTAAATTAAAACTTGTTTACTATAAAAAGTATAAATTATTTTTTATATATAAAAATTAATCAATTTTAATAAGTGTATCATTTGTTAGTTTAAAATTAACTGACAAATTTCTTTTATAAAATGCACAAAGAAATACTCTTATATTACTTTGGTAAATTTTTATAGGAAATGAAATAAATGGTGATGCATCTATATAAATTACCCCGTTCATATCTTTAATACCTAATTTAATATCAAATAAATCATTTTGATGAAACAAACAATTCAATTCTAAATTAACAGTGTTATTGTTATATTTCCTTAAATTATCTGATGCTATTATACAAAAATCTTTTAATTTAACTCTATTTGTCATTTGATCAAAGTTATTATAAAGCAAATTAAGTATTTCTATTACTTTGGGATAAAAACCTGTTTTCATTGTGACATGTTCAGAGTCATTAAAAAAAGAAATTAAAAATCTAATAAATTCTTCTTGATCATCATCATTTTCTAATAATCTTATATTCTCTACT